GAAGCTTTTATTAATTAAATGAACGAGGGAATAGCTCTCCGCAAGTGCCAAAACTGAGTCAAGAACCGAAGTTGAAGATTGCAGCCTTGAGTATTTTAGGGGCGTTAGTAGGGGGAGCAAGGCGGATGGCGGCACCTGAGGTTAAGGGAGGCCTCCACCACTTAGCACGCGTGGGACAGCCCAGACATTTCTAGGTTTTGTAACTTTTACGTGACAGGGAGACATCATGAAAGATGGCTTGACATTCGTAAGGCAGCGGTAAGGGTAAGAAAGCCATTGTGTATAATAATTACCGAGTAGTGGCACGTTTATGATCAGCCTCGGAGTAGTCGCTCCAGATTTTACATTATATAACATTAGTTAGATCTAAAAGCTAAATTCAAACTAGGCCTCTGTTTAAAAATATACAATGATTCTAAAATGCGCAAATCAGAAACACCGGAACTGGAAGCTAAAACTTTGAAGTCACTGTCAGACACAGGAACATCGCACTGCTCGGCATGAGCCAGCACAGCTGAATGAGGGGGGCACGATAGTAAGTTACCAGTTCTACAACTCCTGCCCTTATGTTCTGCGACCCTAGAATAAAGATTGCGAGACGTCGTTCCGGCGTACGCAGATGCACATCGTGCACAACTATATTCATAAACTAGGGACGCTCGCATATGCATAGGGAGAGTATCTTTGTACCTAAAAAAAGAACCGATTTTAAAATGGTTGACCAATATAACACGTAGGTTAACATTTGCAAAATACTTAGAAAACAGAAGCCCCCCTCATTCAGCTGTGCGGGCTCACGCCGAGCAGTGCGATGTTCCAGTGTCTGACAGTGACTTCAAAGTTTTAGCTTCCAGTTCCGGTGTTTCTGATTTGCGCATCTTAGAATCATTGTATATTTTTAAACAGAGGCCTAGTTTGAATTTAGCCTTTAGCTCTTACCCGCTTGAAATTGTAAATAGATAGGTTTTACAGCTTAGGTTTTTTATTGCAATCATGACTGTACTAATTACTGATTTATCTGTGTTCTAGAATTTTCGAACTGACGATGGAGCTGGACTCCGAAACGTTTTCTTTAAAGATACTATGAATTTTTGTGGAGTTTTCTTTGCTTTTAAGTTCCTAGTGAATTTGCGATTAAAGCAAACGAGTGACATTATTAGTTAGATATTCTACATTTCATCACTAAGGTTGGCTACGCTGATTGTTAAGGGTTGGCACATAAATAATGCGAATAGATGAAGACGCTTAGATACAAAATTACTTATCACTAAGAGGTTAATCGAGGCTGGAGAAGGGAAGAGTGGCACCGATGCTCACATGTCAACACGAAGCAGACTGAGGCTTGGGCGAGTATAGCGCGCCGAGCGAGGCTTGCATCCCCAGAAGAAAACGAAGTCTGTTTTTGAGGTGGACTATCTTATAGTATTTGTGGAGATAAGAGTAATGTAGTATTGTGGTTACATCGCTGAAGAAATAGGCCCATGGAAATATCTGCTGGACTTTTATCAGGTCCGTAAGGGGCTTAGCATTTCAGGACTGCAAGGTGTAAGCTGATCTGACGAACACCCTAGAACGATGTCTCACATTATATAGACGCTTCACACTCGCGCACAGTGACTACTACTTCACTTCCATATCCTCGTCACGTGTTTCAGGTCTAAAAACACATAAACACAAATGCACTTAAGATTTAAGACGCAAAAAGCTCAAAAAGTGAAGAGAATTCTTCTTATTTAATAGCATTTCCTCTCTACAGTAATACTTAATGCTTTTACATTGCTTAAAACATGCAATGATTTTGACATTCAATGATATGTTTACAATGATTTGCCAGATTTTTGAATATTCAACACTTGTATCTCCATAAAAAATAAGCCATAGAGCCTTGAATTGAAAAATAAAGGAATTTATTCAATGTTTCAAAGTAAATCAACACTTAGCACTCTGGATGATTTAGATACGAACTAGGGAAATTCAAGTGATGTTTCTAAGTAACTTTTTAAGTCAAAAAGTGATATGTTTAAGCTACATGAGTCTGTATACGCACGGACTCAGGCACCGCGCCCGTGGGGGTCCCAGACCCCGCGCACATGGGGGTCCCAGACCCCGCGCACATGGGGGTCCCAGACCCCGCGCACGTGAAGGTCCCAGACCCCGCGCACGTGGGGGTCCCAGGCTGCGCACGGGGGGGTCCCAGACCCCGCGCACGTGGGGGTCCTGGACCCCGCGCCCGTGGGGGTCCCAGACCCCGCGCACATGGGGGTCCCAGGCACCGCGCACATGGGGGTCCCAGATAAATTCATCATAAGAAATTGCAGGCAAATTCATGACACGGTCAATTCTGCAGTCAGTTCTCCAGTTAAGTTAAAGAACAAGAACAAATTAATCTGCACCTAATGAAACAGGTAGAAAATGAGCAGCTTTAAATACAAAATAACACAGTAATAAACACATTGCATTAGCATTTTATTCTTTACTTGACAAAATATGGTTACAATATTACTATATTTTAAGCATTATTTACTGAACAAATCTAATTAGGTAAATATTCTTGGAGACTAAGATAATTTATCCTAATATTGTTTGAAGTTTAATCCTATTACAATAGTAATAGTTAAATGAGGCAGATTGTGCTAAATTTTAAGAATTGAGATAATTAATTTTGCGACTATTGAGCATTCATATTTGGAAGAGGGTTGCTACAGGCGCTGCAGATCTAACCGGAGAATACATAAAACAAAATAAGGTTGCATCAAAAAATAAATTGTAGAAGATGTACCAATGAAGAGCAGGCCATTTGTAGACAATACCACTCACACAAAGAAATAATGGGGTCTAGGTAAGTTGGACCAATGAAGAGCAGGCCATTTGTATAGACAATACCACCCACACAAAGAAATAATGGGGTCTAGGTAAGTTGGAATGTCCTCATATTGACTTTATGGTGGTTGTTGTAAAATGTAAAAGTTCATAGAAACTATGATGTTCAGAAGGCAATCAATGTGACTTTATGGCGGTTGTTGTAAAATGTAAAAGTTCATATAAAAAGACCGCATTGCTCAAGGAAGAACAGCACAGAGCTAATGAGCAGTCAAATTGTCATTCGAGTTTCCTGCTCAAGTTTGTTGGAGTTCACCAATCCACAGCATGTATACTAAATGGTAAATTAAGTGCTGCCTTCAAGCACTTGCTATTAATGTAAAAGGGTTAAAGGTATTGAAAATCTTTTTCAGGAAAATAATAAATGCAGTAAATAGACCTTCAAGAGATTTTAGTGCATTCCACAACTCTTTCAAACTGTGGCTCATGCCATTTCTGTTATTATTGGAGACAACAAAAGCTCAAATCAACAAAAAATCTCTCATAGCCCCCACTGAGGAGTACCTAACTCAAACATTACCGGTGTGCCCAAAATTTACATTTAAAGATATTTAAAGAGCAATACCACAAACCTGACCTACATACAAGCAGGTGAATTTCATCTTCAACCCACAATTACAGTAATTATAGCGGCAGATCACATCGTTGCTACCGACAAGTTTATCACTCGACAGGCCCTTCTGCCAACGCTAATTTATACACGAAAACATAAACATTATATTACCAACTGTATTAAATGTAAAATTGATGCACAATACTATCCCACATTATCCCATTTGAAGCTTATGTAATAAGAAAAAAATAATGAGGAGTATCAAGAAGCATCAAGATCTCCTTGATTTCTTGATGTGGAAGGTGCATAGATTGGGAGACTCATTCAACTTTGTGGCTGTAATGAAGCTGGTTTGCTTCCTTGGGTTCATTTTTAGTGTGAGGTTCTTTTCTTAAAACATGCCTATCAACCAACAAGGGTTTATTCAAACAGGACTAAACAAAACAGTTAACAGAGTAATACTAAGGAATGCAATCAAAGGAAAGCTAATGTAAACACTTGACATTATAGATACAAAATACGGTTAGCAGCTCGACCGTCTCAACATGAGATCAGGACTCCTCCTTGATCCGAGATCACCCCAGACGGGATCATCAAACTGGACCTTCAATCAGGTCTAAGGCCCGCTCTCCAGAAGTACACTGACTCCAGCTCAGCAAACCTACACGTGAAATAAATAATATTTCAAGCCTGACCAGTTTTGTTTGTTAAATACGAAATGACAATCACAGTTGAATTGATTCCTAATTTATGCACAATTATAATCAATCATTTAATTCACTGCTATCTTTGCAGTATAAATTAGTAGTGTAACTCACCAATAAAGGCAGTGCTTGTCAGCTATGCTAAAGTCACCAAAAATGCACTACAGCAGTTGACAATGCCGATATAGGGGTTGCTCAGTGTAGAACTACTGGCTTCCAACTGACATGTCGCGGTCGATCCCTACGGTTTTCGCCTTCCATTCAGTGCCTTCTAGATCTTATTTTACATCCTTACAGTGACATTGTAACTAAACTCAATATGGAATCCTTTTACTAAATAATTGTCCTAAATCTGAACGCATTTGATATATTTTTAAGCTGAACATTCACAAACCAATTGAATTTTACCAAAAGCCCTCAACAAAGTTTAGATTAGATTGCTAGCAGACATAGTAGCACAACTTTTACTAAGAGATCTTTCCTAAGCCAAAACATGTTTAGATTTCAGGTGCTTTTTGAGATACCTTTTCTCACCAACGACATAATCACAGAACTGACATCTGAAGCCGTTCCCTAAACCGTGTTTAGAAAACATGTGCATATCAAGAACATATTTTCTACAGTTGCTATAATCACACAACTTGCATTTGAATCCTTTACCTAAACCATGTTTAGAAACCATGTGAATATTCAAAGAATATTTTTCAAGAGTAGAATAATCACATAACTTGCATTTTAACCCCTCCCCCAAACCATGCTTTGAAAAATTGTGCACACTGAGATGAGATTTGTTAATAGTAACATAATCACACAACTTACAATTGATTCCCATACCCAAACCATGTTTAGAAAAAAGGTGCTTACTAAGAAGATATTTTCTACGAGTGGCATAGTCACATAATTCACATTTTAATCCTTCCCCTAAACCATGTTTGGAAAACAGGTGATGTTTGAGAGCTTCCTTTCTAGCCGCAACATAGTCGCATAGGTCACATTCCACACCTTCTCCTATGCAATGTATAGAGAACATATGCATTCTGAGATAGCATTTTCTCCCAGCAACATAATCACACAACTTGCATTTCAAGTCTTTCCTCAAACCATGTTTATTAAACAGATGAACTTCAAGATAATGTCTACTGGCCGCGGCATAGTCACACAACTTGCATTCGAATCCTTTCCCCAAACCATGTTTAGAAACCAGGTGACTATTGAGATTGTCTTTTGTATTAGTAACATAGTCGCATAACTTGCAGTTTAATACAGGTCGAAAATCTTGTTTGGTGATTTGGTGGGCTTCAAAAGGAACATTTGGATGTAATGAATCAGTGGACAAGGGAACCTTGGGCAGTTTCTTTGCTTGTCTTGTATGGTCATTGTCGGCCAAGTTGGATGACTTGGGCTCAGCCACAGGCTGACCAGAAAGAACTTCTTGGAATAAAGCTGCTTCATTGGGTACTGGAGAAATATGTTTCTCAGTAACAGACATCTTTTCTTCCTTGTTTCGAGGAAAAACTGGCATCACATACTGACCAATGGTGGCCGGAGCATCGCACGGCATGGCACCCTGAAGATGGAAAGCAGACTCATGTGATTCTTTCATATCATGTAGTGTACAAAAATTAACTTAGCACTTAAATGTACGGTATTGTAGATTAATACAATCTTCATTGCCTTCATCAAACTTTTCTTGGTAAAAACTTTAATTTTTATCAATTGTATTAGAATAATTTCAATGAAAGGGAAATCATCTAGGCAATTGAAATGGAAATGATATGAAAATATAGGTCTCATTACTCAAGATTAAACTTGTATCAAAGTAAATCTACAAAAAAATTCCCAAGTCATGCATTAGACAACATTTCAATATTAGTGTTCATTCATGTTCATTTTAGATCAGAATGTGACACTAATTTCACATCTCACAAGAACATATGCCCTGCAAGAACAAAAGACACGAGAAATGAACAACATTGCTACCTGCATTGCTTGATGGGGGCATATTGCCGCAGAAGTTCATGTTCATTTAATACCTTCAATAGAATATTTGGGACAACCTTGGATTCAACAGCCAGACATTTTATCTTAAAATGAATTTTGGATACGGAAACAAAAAAAAATTGAGGATAGTTAGTGATGAAAATGTTACAACTGTAATAAACATAACAGCTGATGAGAGTTGAGGTGCAAGTTGTTCACAGCAAAGCCACTGCAGCCACATGATCAGTTCGCATTAACACTTCAATTCCTTAACAATTTATTTGAACTCAATCATGTTAAAAATATCACCTCATATTCTTCACTGCAAAGTGGTTCATCCTTCACAGTTATGTCCTCTCCCTCATCTTCAGGCTCCTCTTTGATGTAAACTGTCATGATGGAGGGTAAGGATGAGCTGCTGCCCTCCATTACTGTATGTAATATACAGCATTTATTATTAGCATGATGATACTTGCAGCTAAGAATATCAACATAATAATGGGCTCAAGCCATCTCTACTGCCTCCTCAACTCATTAGCAGGCAATTTACTCATATATGCTCACTTGAAATTGCCTCCCAAAAGGTCCCACCACAGCCTCCAGTTTGTGGCAATGTCAGGCTGAATCTATGTTGAAACAATGCACTTCGGGACATTGAAATTCAATTGATCATTAGTTCAGAATGAAAAGAGAATCAACATCGTTTTTTCAATGTTGCATAAATACGGTGCCTGAATACAGAGACATTCATGATGGAACATGTTAACCTGACACATAACTTATATTAGTGCGCTTTTTATGCCAGAATTCAACTAGATTTCAACATTGAAACAATATCGAAATGTATGACATTGAAAAATGATGTTGATTAACTTTTATTCTGGCTTAACATTTGACATTATTTCAACATTCAGAGTATGCTGATTCAACATTGATTCAACCTGACATTGCCTGATGGGTCATCACCAATTATCTGCCCATCATTCCATTCCATTTATAGCATCAACTAAGCCCAAGAATTAAAATATGTGCATTTAAATGAACATTTACACTTGGACAAGGAGGTTGATGATTTTTTTAACATTTTCAAAAGATGGAAATAGTAATAAGGTATCTATTCAATAAATTAAGTAACTTGATCAAATTGAATTAAATTAAGGCCAAATAGTTACTCTATACATTTGAATGATTTAATATATAGGTATTACATAAAATTTTTTTAGCATATATAAACCTTATTAAATAAATTATTCAACAGCAATTTACCATTTCAATATGCAATATTTGTAGAAATTCATAGGAGTATATGTTTAATATGATTTAATAAATTCTCTAACTGGCTCTATCAATTAGAATCTTTTCATATTTTCATGCCTGCCCACAAAAAATTAATGATATGAATGTAAGTATCCTTAGAATGTGTAGGAAAAACATTGGCAGTTTCAAGTTGTCATCTCCAACTTACTTTCCAAACTGCCAAAGGATTTGGTTCAACAATGATATGATCAATAAAATCATGAATGTCAATGAAGTAAAACATCTTCCAAATTGACAAATAAAATAGACTTGCAAGCACTAGTTGTGAAGCATACCTTCAGGCTCGAGTTTGCACACGTCAGTTGATGCTTGAATGAGGCTCTGCTCAGGGCACCAGCCACTCCTGACTGCAGCATCTGAGAGCTGGTGCAGAACAACTCTGCACTCTTTTATACTGTACGCCATGAGATTAATGTGGGGTATATATGGTGAGTTCAGGTTTTCCTGAGACACACTCTAAGTAGTAATATTCTTCAATGACCAAGCAAGACAAGTATCTGGAAATAATTTTAAATTAAATCAAAACGAGTGGCAACCCATTGTTTAACTAACTAAATAAATTAAACTACAAGTCTTGGTAGCAGCATATTTTATAGAAAGTGACTTGTAGTTCCTTAAACTTATATGGCAATTATGGCTTTGATGATGGATGATAAAACAAAAGATGGTTGAAAAGTTATAGGTTAGTGGATTCCTTTCCATGTGTGGCATGTTAGCAAATTTTTACTTCAACAGTATATTTGTAGCTTCATTTGAAAATGCACTGTTGAACAACAGCAATACTGTAATCAACACATTGACTCTAATTGCTCCTAGTATCAGAAAAATATAAAGTACTGTAAAATAGGGTAGTAAGGGATGGGCAGGGTAAATCGGGACAGTTGTCCCACATTTGGTAGAAATGTTGTAGCAGCTAAACCAATCTAATAATGAAAAACTAAAAATAGTGGTGCAAAGTTTAACATTTTTACTATCTATGTAGAATAAAGCAAGTTAAAAAATCATACATTTACTACCTCTTAAAATTCCCTGAAAAAAGTGTGAAAAAAGAGATTTTAGAAATGTTCCTCTGCTTAGGTCTGTAGCAAAAAAATATTTGCCATATCAAAAATTGCGCTGTATTGATGGAATTTGTGCATCTCATTCCAAAAAAATTCCCTCGGTGTAATAAGGGACACTCCTACAAACTCATTCACAGTAGAACCTTAATTAGTGAAGGCTCCAGTTAACAAAAATCAATTCAAAACAAAAAATTTTGATTACATTTACCTAGCTGGCAAAAAATTTCAATTAACAAAAAATTAATGCATCATCAGTCATCAAAAAATTGTGCATAAAATAACATAGATAGATATGTGCATTGGGCAACATAAAATGAAAAGTAATTAACCTAAACTATGATTTATTTCACCAAAAAATATGATGGTTGTCACTAGAGTATTCCTTCGGTTTCAGGTATGTTTTTTACAATCTTTTTTGTTAAAGTGAATTCTCTCGACTCAATTAAAATGGTGCGAAATTACAAGTTGTTCTGTAAGCTTACAGATACAGAAGAAATGCTATACAGCCGCTGATATGAAGCTTGCAGTGGACAAGGTCATTGTAAATGCTCAATGGCATGTTCATGGATCCGGCAATATCATGTCAATAATATAGTAAAGTATGGATAATATTATATCAATAAAGGAAAAACAAGTAAAAATCAAAGAAAATATCATTTATTCTACATCTACAATAATATTCTACATCATCTACAAAGGAAGAGGAAGACTTTAGAGTGCTGTTAGTAATGGATGAGTAAACTATGCATGCACTTGCAGCATGCTTTAAAATATTTAAAAATAAGTTTTATTTTACTTCTCCCAAATTACCCCGTTCCCAGGGTAATTTGGGATGCTTTTATTTTGTGTCTGGCGCTTTACAAATAGCATGTGGAATTTTTTTGGAGATGCCATAAGATAGCCATCACAAAGTTTCACAAAGACCTTAAAAATGAGCCCAAACTTGATTATAAAATGTTTCATGGTAAAAACTAAAAAGTTACTAACAAAAAAAACTCTCAAAATCGTCCCTTATTAGTTATTACCCTGTTTGCAATAATAAAATTTTGGTAGATGTATCATGTATCATGTATGTACATAATGCACATAGTACTTACATACTTACATAGATAAGATACCTTCAACACAAAAAAATTTAAGCCAGAAAATCACTCTGATAGCAATCTCAGTTCAGACAAATCTAGTAATTTGGAAATAAATAGTTTGGGTCCAATTTTAGAGAAGATAGATATATATCCTTTGTCAGTCCGTGAATGTTGAACACCCCAGGCCTCCCCCCCCCCCAAGCTGCAAGATTTTAATAATACATGGGACTTTTTTACGGAGGACAAAATAAGTCATGAGTAGGGCAAAAATGTCTATGAATTTGGTCAATGTTACACAATCCTAAAATCCTTTAGCCTTTTCCTAGTCTCTTCTGTGAAAAATTTGAAAAATGGCCTATTTTGACCCATTAATTTTATGAATCTGCCATAAAATGATTTTTTCTATCCACAGTTTTATTGTAGTTTTGCCTGATATTTTAAATTGGAGTGCAATAAAATTGCTCTTTTATGTCAAATTGCTGCCTATGGCTCTAAGCCACTAGAGTATAGACTCTAGACACTTGAATTTAGTCTCAACTTCATAGGCTAAACTACTCTACTCAGTAGCATGCTTGCTTGACTTGCACACACCACACAGGGACAGGAGGAGATATGAAAGTAATGGTGGCATAGTGGCAAAGCAGAAAATTTTTTTAGACTCTCCCTCAAGTTCATTTTTGAGTCCTATAAGTACATAGATCAGTAAAGTATCATGGTCATGGATACCAGCATTATCATACATAAGAAGTTGGTTTAAATCTTGAGTAAATGAGGAAATTAAAAATGAACTGATTCTAAAAATTTACGGCCGGACTCGCGGCTGGTCTCACGGCCTTTTCCCAAATTCAACGGTCAATGAATATCTCCCAAACTAATGAACGTAACTCCATATAACTTGGTACACGTTTTCATTTGGACCTGACGGTGATATTTAGCTTGTGAAAATTGTTTGAATTTTGCCTTCATTTGTGTTGTACGGCTATACGGGCCTAAATTCGCAATGATCAAGGAATTTCTTTCAAGCTACTGAACATATTTGAACGAAATTTTGATTATACATTTCTAACTACTGAACGGTGATGTTGAGCTTGTAAAAATTTTCTCGTCTTTGCCTTCGTTTGCGAGGTTTCTTCCATTTCACCTCCATTCGTGATTTAAACAGCAATGTGTGCTTAGATTCTCAGTGATCAAGAAACTATTTCTAAACTACTAATCAAATTTGAACGAAACTTAGTAAATAATTACCGAACCTCAGCAATGGTGAATTCTGGGTGAAATTCCAGGAATGGAAGTTCACTTATAAAAAAAGCTTTCCACCCATGTGGAAAGCTTACCTTAGATACAGTGCTCTGCCATGTGACTGAGACGAGACTGACTATAAAGGAAAAGGAGGATCAAAAGAGGACAAACTGTTTCAATTGTATAGTACTGTCTGGTACCAGATTTGTTATGGACATGTTTAGTTATCTCTTGTTTGATTGATACTTTTTATTTTCCTTCTAATTAATGGATTTTTGAAAATTTTCCAGTCCCTTTGTTTGTAATGAATAATGATTAAGTTCAAGTTGAGTATTAAGTCAAGTTAGTTAAAGTATTAGGTAGTTTTAGGTTAACCAGTGTCCAGTAGTCCAGTACTGTAGTATAACTACCATATTTGGGGGTGGGACTTTTGGGCACAAGCCACACAACCACTCACAACTGGAAAGGATGACATCACAATCCCATCCACCAATCACAGCTGGAAAGGGGGTGACATTACAATTCCATCAACCAATCACAGCTGGAAAGAGATAGGATATGTATATAAAGGACTGAAAGTGGAAAGTTCCTGGCCCAACCAATCTTTCAGGTCCTGCTTTCCAATATGCTATCTGTACTGGTCAATTTAATATTCCTCTAGAATTTCACTGTCGGTGATGTTTAGCTGGTGACATATTTTTTATTTGGTCTTTGTTTGCGAGTTTTACGGCTCGCGCCTACCTCTTCCTAGCCGAGCTCTTCCCTTGAACACCTAAGCCGCTGAGATCACCGCTCTCTGAAAGCCGCTTGCTCTCAAGTCTGTAACAATTTTGAACAATCAAACAATTTGTACAATTTTTACTCAATTTGATTTCGGTTTTTTATTCCCTTTCGTCCAGCAGGCGAGTCCAATTATTCAAGGTTGACAGGAGATTAGTGGTGCATGATCTGCCTTTATGGTGCATGACCTTTCTTTAACCCTTTAGTAACGGCTATGCGTTTTACAAATTTTTTTTGGAATTTTTTTACAGAATCGCTAAATAATGCATTTCTGTTGAGGTGCTTTTAGATTTCATCCCGCATCTGCGACAAAAGGTGCGCCATCTTTAATATACACAATATTCGTTTTCCCTCTATTGCTCACTCGTAATATTGGCAGGGGAGACGAAACGATCTGTTCAGTCGGTCGAGCTGTCCTGCCTTTCCAATGTTTCTGCAAGGCATCAAATATGGTGAACGTCTGAATCTAGGTAAACAGAGTAATGCTAGAAGTAAGGTCATGTCTATACGAGGTGCTTAAAGGTTAAGGGTTGGAAGTCGTCTGCATGAGGGAATACCTCGAAACACGTTGTCGAAATGGATCGTTACTAGGGTCGTCATTTGGATTACTTAACTAGCTCCTGGTGTAGTAGTAATGGCTGGTAAATTGAGTTATATGAACCATTACACACCCAATCCTATTTAGTACCTTGTTGCCTACTGCTCCGCAGTGGCGAGCCTGCACACAATCCAGAACTCGGCCTCGAGAATGACCATCGGGAGCCAAAAGATGATGCTAATTGAAGACCTCCACACCGTGACGGGCTTTCTCTCCATACCTACCCATCTGGACACCGCATGTGTGCAATTCTTTGCCAGTGCCCTCCGGCCCTTCCATCCCTCCTTCCTCATCGTCTCTACTTCCCCAGTAGACCGACTAATGAAGGCTACCCTTCGGTCCAATTCCAAATTCGGCTACCGTGTCGCCACCTTCCTATGGAATGACATTAACCTGACGGATCTTATGAGGAGGCAAAGAGAACTCTCCCTCAAGAGATGCGAGACCACTGTTATCTACAGAGTCTTGGCCGCCTCACCCCTCCTGTCGCCTTCGAGGAGGAACGGCTCTCCCGCCCTCATCGCAGGCCCAGCACCCCTCGGGCTACTGCAGTTCCCTGGCATCCTACATCTTCAGGGTCAGACGCGCACCTAGCGCCGCCTGCCCTGACTGTGGGGATCCCCTCTCGTCTCCGCAGCATCTCACCTCTCTTTTTT